ACATTTTGAGCTTATGTCGTAGTTTGTTTTGTACTTGTGCTTTTAAAAATTACTGAATTTTGCTTTTTGGTAAGTACCTATAATTATTTTTAATACGTATGATTATTTGGATGACGTGAATCTTTGGGTACTTACATACAGGGTAGCCAAATGAAAACGAAACAGAGCCATTTTCATGAACTGCGTCAAGATTGTAAAAAAACGCACAGACCCGTCGATTTTAGATTAAAGGGGGACATTCTTTGCTGGAATTTTTGTCTCCGCCACTTTCACCCCCAAGCAAGGGTAAGCATTTAAATGGCATTGGGGGTTGAGTAATATTTCTTTTGAAAGCTCTTACAATTCTCTTTACAACAATAACAACGTTCGCGTACATTCCGAAATATGTCCGGAGTGATTCGACGGCATTCGTCGACGATTCTTTGACGCAAATCCTCCAGCGACGCTGGCTGTGTTTTATAGACTTTACTTGTTAGGTATCCCCACAAAAAGAAATCAAGGGGTGATAAATCCGGTGATCGTGGAGGCCACTCAATGCTGCCTCTTGTCCCAATCTAATTCCGTAAAAAACGTTGGTCGAAATACTGACGGACAATTAACGCATAATGCGGAGGAGCACCGTCCTGTTGAAAATTCAAATGATCTTCATCATACTCTGGAACATTTTCAATAATATCAGTCAAGGCAGGGTCAATAGCGTCTTCCACTAATTGCAAATACATTTGGCCAGTCAAATTACTAGGTAGAAAAAAAGGACCCACCAGCCGGTCACCGAAAATTCCAGCCCATACATTTAATTTTTCCGCTTGCTGTGTATGCACCTCGTGAAAAACTCTTGCGTTTGAATCGGACCAATAGCGGCAATTGTGATTTACCGTCCCGTTCAAGAAAAAACTGCATTAATCAGAAAAACAGATGTTAAAAAGGAACTGTGGATCGTTCCCTGCTTGCTCACTCATTATTTCGCAAAATTGCAAACGGCGGTCGTAATCATCCTCATGAAGTTCCTGGACTAATTGTAAATGTATTTTGTATGGATGGAATTTATTCTTCTACAAAATGGTTTGTATGCTAGTTCGATTGATCCCAAACACAGATGCCAGCTGCCTCGTACTTAATGTAGGACCAAGATGAACTTGTCCCAAAACTGCAACTTCAATAGCTTCATTAACTATAGGTTTTTCAATTTCTCGTTTTTTGTTGGTTACGTTCCCTGCGGTTCCCTGTCTCTTTTTTTTTTACTAACTCTAGATCTCTAGAACATACTTCCTCCTGACATGTCGATCTTGATGTTGTTCATTAAATAGCTGAGCTGTTCTATTCGCACATTTATTGTTCATAAAGTAAAGCGAAATGATATCTACCCTTTCCGCAATGGAATAAACCATAGTGTTTAATTTTCAAAAACCACAATTAAATAAACTACCAACGCTTCCAAATAATACTAGAAAATAATTTGGAATCCACTAATTTTACGTTCGTTGTTGTGTATAGCATTCATTTCTGTTTTTTACAATTGTGTTTTTTTACGAAAGTGATAACAAATCGTCAGAAACCAATGTAACGCAAGAAATACTAAATTTATACCATTGGCGTACTTAACTCGAATGACTGACATTTTTATCGTTACTAATTGTTTGTACATAAGTTTCAACTTTAAAATCAAAATTCTTAATAAGTATTGGGCGGAATTATAAAATTTAAAGTCTATTGTAGAGAATTGTAAGAGCTTTCAAAAGAAATATTACTCAACCCCCAATGCCATTTAAATATTTTAGGGTGATGCTTATCCTAGCTTGGGGGTGAAAGTGGCGGAGTCAAAAATACCAGCAAAGGATGTCCCCCTTTAATCTAAAATCGACGGGTCTGGGCGTTTTTCTACAATCTTGACGCAGTTCCTGAAAATGGCTCTGTTTCGTTTTCATTTGGCCACCCTGTATTTTTCAAATTCTTCCTTTTTTAAGAGATACATAATTACTAAAATTCGAGCTAAAATTTAAGCACAACACTATCTTCGTACTACAAAATCGATACATGTTATTTTATTTATTTAAAAACTGGAAAACAATTGTCTTGAAATTTACTAAATGTTTCACAATAATAGTTGTTTAAATTTTTTCCGTAGGACAAGTCTGCCACGTGCACACGTGGTATGCACCAGCTGTGTAGCGTTAGGTTAAACGCTGTTGTCACGTTGTGATGAAACTCTCTAATATTAATACTCGCTGGATTTTGAAAACTGTTGATCTTACGCTTCTGTAATATACAACTTTTTTGTTCATTTATAATTACTCTATCTCGTGCTGAAGTAATGACAGTCAAACTTTTTAAAGCCCGTATATTGTTTTAAATCAAAGTTCTAAAATTCGCCACAAAATTTATAGAAAAATTTTATTTATTCAACAAATAAAGGAAGTTGATAATTTTGTTCGGAGAAAGGGCCCTTACACACGAGTTGTATATAATTTGTATGTTACTCCCCAAGTCTGCATCTCCTGTAATTTTAAAAATTAGATTAAGACTTTAGGAGAAGTATATGCAGCTATATTATATTTTTTAAGTATGTTTCCATTTAAAAAAATATTACTTTGATGTGTGTTGAAAACCTTCAGATATAAAAAAAAATAAGTACGCCACTGGGTGTCCAAAACATCTCTTATTACTTATGACAACCAATAAATCCGAATATTAAAAAAGTACAACATAAACTGGATCACAGTAAGTAAATTATTTGTTTCTCTTTTTCCTTGCATGCTTTTATATTAGATACATTATTTCATTGTAAAAACATGAAAATGAAAGAATAAATAAATTAATCACACAATGCTATATTATATATTGATCTAAATGGAAATGTAAAAACTATATTAATGTTGAAGTTAAAGTTTTAATGTCGAGTCAACGCAAATTATGTTCAGTGATGTTGACTATATATTATAATTTAGAAGCAAAAAAGTTTCACGGGTCAGGCATATTCAATTACAAGCAACTTACCGGGGCTTTTTAATGAATGTTTTTAACTTGTTTACGGTGGTTAATACCCTAGAGATTTTACTCATCTGTTTTATTTTTCTTGTGGAAATTTTGGAAGTAAAGTAAACATATTTTTTTTTCTGTTTATTCGTCCTGCTTATCATCAAAACACATTTCGGCATAATTTTACCTTCATATTTTATTTTTTGGAGTCTGGGGAAATGCAGATTTAGGTAACAATTTGAACACCACAGCGATATTTATTGATGTGATAAAATTCTAATGAAATTTACTTCGACATATACAATTTTACTAAAAATTTTACAGTGTAAAATTTTACAAAATGTAAAACTTCACAAACAAATTTTACGAAATGTAAAATTTTACAAAATGTAAGCTTTATAATATGTAAAATTTACAAAATGTAAAATTGTACCAATTGCAAAACTTTACAAAGTGTAAAATTTTACAGTTGCGTACCACTGCGATGTTTAGTGATATGATAAAATTGTAATGAAATATTTAGTTGTTACGGAAAAAGAATACCATGTAAAATACAGGTCCGTCTGATAAAAACCAACCTTTCTGAATCATATATTAATTTTACTCCGACAATCCAGTTTTATTTCAAATTTTACAGATTGTAAAATTTTACAAAGTGCAAAACTTTACAAGGTGTAAAATTTTACAAAACGTAAAATTTTAAGAATTATACCAATTTTAATTGCGAAACTCTTTCGAAGTGTAAAATTTTACAAAATGTAAAATTTATAATGTATAATTAAAATTACCTAAAGATGTTTCTGAATTACAAATGTCTACCAATTTCTTTTCGACGGTGTTTAAATGTTTTATTCTTGTATTTTCTTCGATTACATGTCAAGTGAGGCTATTTAGGCTGGCCAATATCGGCGGCTGACTTGACAGACATGGCAAATTCCTAATTCCGGTTTGATGGTGTAATAATTTTAGCTACCCTGTCGGATAGGAGTTACATTACAGCAAAATAACTTTTGCGGGACGACGAGGATAACATTATACAATACCGTGGGGCTACTGTTAGATAGTTGTTTTGTTTCAGGGCAACCTATGATACAAGTTGACCTAGTCCTAAAAGGCTAATTTTATGGTCGAAGTATTCCAACAGCTGTTCAACACTGTGGAGTTTCGATTCCTTAAACGAATTTATGGCTAAAATGGACTCTATAGTCGTTTAGGCCTGTGCTGGAATCACAATGGGAAAATATCCCTCGTAGGATATTATAGAATTCTTATCTCTTATTTAGGTAAAGCTCCGTTCTAAGCTTTAGCGGTGTTGGAACCGATGGATTTTTCAAATAAACGTAATTCATTGCAACTTATTGCATGTTTCGGTTTCAGAATATCTCAGAATTTAACTTTGTATGTATGCCTTATTTGGTTTATCGTATCTCTTTTAGTTTAAAAATTTATGTTTATTTTTTTATATAATTTTATATTAGCAGGCAAGCATGCATGAAGAAGAAAAGTACACAGCACAACAGCAAGACAAAGTCTCTAGAGCAAGACAAAGCGTAGAAAAACGTTTAAAAGAACTGGGACATATTGGGTACAAATATACAATATTAGGTGCAACATATGCGGCGCCCCCTAGGAGATATGATTCAAATACTGGCTATAACCTAACTTTACCTTACTTTTTCTGTCTTTCCTTGAAGAACGCTTTGAGAACATTTATTAGCGCCTCAAATGACGTCACAATGATCAAATGCGCCGAATCTGATTCTACCTGCGCACGAGCAGTGCGCCTGAGCTTTTTAAACCTGCAACCACGATCCATATTATTTCTAGTAGAGGTCTGTGGTTGCAGATGTCAAATATCTAATGAGAGTTATCTTAGCAGCTGTATTGCTGATAAAATGTCTTTCGTACCTGTAACTCGGTCTTTTTATTTGACAGGGGAGTAAGGGGGGCACCTAGTTGTTGCACTAATATCGTATTTTTGCAGCAGTACGGGGTTAACAAGAGATGCAGGGCAACTATCTTACCGGTGCGTTGAGACAGGGACAGGTGCAGTGATGAATGGACCTGATGCTCTCTCTCGACACTGAACGGACTATCTTCAGGGTGGACGCGGGTGTTTGAGAGGTGCGTCGCTCTAGGATGCCGCGCGTCGTGTAAGGCGCAAGCTGAAATGCATTCGATGAACTCCTGTTCCTCGTTGGAATATTTGATGAGAGGTTTTGCTTGCATCCTTTCACGTCTAGTCTGTAACAAAACAAGGGGTTGACAAATTGTGGCTTAGTTCCAAAAGCTGTCTGGTGTACACATGCGTTTTAATCTAGTGTATTGTCTCAATTCAACTTATTCTAGTTTCCTTTAAGAGTTGTGGAGACGTTGTGAAAATTGTTTATTTTCAATAAGAAACACGTGGTCTAAAGCGTCATGTGTCCCAGAAAATTAATCAAGAATTATTACGTGAAACTTCGGCCGACCCTGCATCACCACACTTATTCAACTGGTTACAATACTGTAACTAGATCAAGTTTTGGGTGATATTTTATACAGCGCAGGTGTCGATGTGGTTATGTTGAAAATTAAACATAAAAAGAACTGTAGTTAACAAAATTATTTCATTGATAATAAAATGAACTGAGGAAATACTTCCTTCTCGTATTTTGAATAAACCAAAATATTTTGCGAACTGTCAAAATGCCTCTGCTTTTCTTTGAAAATGAAAGAAAAAATCCTAAATCTAGATTTCTACACAGGATAATTCACAACTTATCAAAAAAAAAAAATTGGGAATAGATGCGTTAGGAAAAATGAAGTTAATATCGTAAAAAAATTTTTGTAAAATTCTTGTAGTTTCCGAGAAAAAAATTATTGAAGTTGCAGTATTTTGAACCTTTACATCGCTTGGCAATGCGCACTCTCTCAGTCAGGTTTTACAGTGGACCAGTTTCCAGTGCCGTGCAGAAGTGTATTTTTAAATTATTTTCGATTTTTTTTTACAAAATTGTATTTGTAAAAGTCCCCTGTATATTCAAATTTTTTTTTGGTAAGTTCTGAATCAACCTGTATATATAGAAACATAAAAAAGGTGAGATGGGATGAAACACTCCGTATAAGTACTTTAAGGTACACATTTTATTACTAAAACCGAATGAAAATATTCCAACATATTTTAAATATTTTTGTTACTGGTGCCTGTGGCACTTATCGAAAATTTGTCCTTTGTCCAAAACATTATATCAAAAGACAATTTATATGTAAACAAGGTTGCAGATAAATTTCGCTAATTAATGAACATCGGGCCTTTTTTTTTCGTTCTCATTAAAATTGCAGAGCGTTTTATCGATTGAAAAAATTATGTTCAACGAATACAAATAAGGAGGGATTTTTAATGATTGGGTTGTTCCGTTTACGTACCCCAAAAAATATATTAAATACGGTAAAAAAAATAAACCTGAGAATTATATCCCACATCAATGGCCTTTATTTGGCAACAAGGGAAATGCATATCATGCAGATATACCAGATGTTACATAAAAAGGGTCAATAAATAGTCTAATGTCATTGTTGCCTTTTATCTTTTATTGAAATTCCTCAAAATAATTTTAAATTGGGGAATATCAACGTCTCTATTGTTACATATTTTCCAACGCGCAAGCTCATAAATTACGTCATTCGGAGCGGTAAATTCAAATATTCGAATTCAAATATTCCGTAAATATTCCTTTAAGCAAAAACGGTCGGAAAAAGTTACACAATAGTTGCTAAATATTTTAAGCAAATCTTTTGTTAACAAAAAATAAATGAAATCAAACGGAAAACCGCCCTTTTGAGCGACACGGACTGTGTGAAAATAGCAGCTTGACATAAAACATCGTTCTGTCCATACTTCCGCTGTCCATCTAGGCTCTAATGCGGTCCATATGTTGCAACTTAAGGTGAATAATATTTCTGCAACCTCGTCACGTATGGCAACTCCAAAGTTGCACACATTTCGCAGACGTTCTCGGCTTTAAAATCTGACCCGTAATAGAGAGATGGATGAACGATTTCCTCCAGGCTTATTCTTAGAGTAGGTTTTCCACAATGTCGCCCATTTACTTAGGATCTGTCACTTGAATATCTGAGAAATCGTTTCACTTCTAATGGCAAACTAAGAGATTGCTGAGTGGTTAGTGTTGGATCTGACACAGCATTTATTTTACTTACCCAAACGTATCTCATAGAGACGTCCCGAGAAATCTAAATCTAATTGAGAGCGGTAACACTCAAACACATCTATAGAATTATACCCATATACCGCGGGGAAGTACAGGGGGTGTGTTAAATTGAAATTCAAAGTTGTCCTGTTATTATTTATACGGCGTATTAATGAACTTATGTCAAAAATTTAAAGGCGTGAAAAAGGAGCAAAAACTGAGTTAACTGATGTCACAAACTTGTATCGGAAGTTTAAGGTCCTGGAGAAAAAAACTAATTAAAAATTGGTTTAAAACTGTTTTGGAACTGCTGAAATACATGTATTTTATCGCGACGAGTACTTACAAAAAATTCTGTAACTCTTTTTACGTGTTTGTAGGTTTCTTATGAAGCTGGACTGTATTCGAAACTCAGTCATTGTTGTAGTGATTGCTGTGCTGTTTTTCGAGAGTAGATTTAATAGCCGTATTTCCAAGTTTTGACATAAGTTCATTAACACCACACCATTTTTTTACAAATAGTATCCTGAAGGGATCATTTTATAACAAAAGCCTGGCCTACTACGATTTTTTAAGGGTCGTTATTCCAGAAAGTGATATTAGGCATTTTTTTATCAAAAATATAATATTACCAGGCTATTCAACACCCATCAAAATACCCATATAGCAAATTTGAACAACAAATGTCTATTGAGTGTTTTTTTATGTGGTGCCAAACTTTGAAAAATCAGACAGCAAAAAATTATAATAAGCAGGTCAAAGATTGCCATGAAAGTGAAAACAAGTACCAATTGGACAAAGAAAAAATGCAGACACTATAAATTTAACAGTTTTAATTGCGGCTATAGTAAAAATAATAATAATAATTAACGTACAAAAAATGTAAATTAAGTTGTTAAACAAAAAATTGCAAAACAATCTAAATTAAATTTTAGATTTCTAAAACTACGGACTTTTACTTTTGGGGTTTTATAAAACAAAAAATTTATAAAAACAGACCAAGGAATTTGGATGACTTAATGAATTGCATAAGACAAGCTTGTGCAGAAATTACTCCACAAGAGCTATGTAAATTATTTTTAAATTTAAGAAGAGAATTGGAAAAATGTGTAAGTTTGGTAGAGAAAACTAAAACTTAATTTAGATTAACGTTTTACAATTTTTTTGTTTAGGAACTTAATATTTATAATTCATTACATTTTTTGTAAGTTATTATTTTTATAATTAATTAAAATAATTAAAAGTATTAACTTTATAGTGCCTGTATTCTTTCTTTGTCCGATTGGTATTTGTTTTCACTTTCATGGCAATCTTTGACCTACTTATTATAATCTTTAGTTGTCTGATTTTTCGAAGTTTGGCACCACATAAAAAAAACATTCAATAGACATTTGTCGTTCAAGTTTGGTATACTTGCGGAAAGTCCATAGCCTTCTCACATTTCCAGAGGTGTTAACCTAAAAAATGGGACACTGTATATTTATACAGGATGGTCCCGAGGTAATGGGCCAAAATTCATGGGTAGATTCCCAAAGCAAAAATATTGCGATTTAGCCGAACTTACCTTAGTCCAAAAGTTGATGGTTAAAGAGATACAGGGTGTTAAATGTAAAGTATTATTTTAGTTTAATTCCATTTATTTCTTAATAAATGCAAATATTAAACAAAATTTTGAGGTTTGGGGTTCTTCGAGTAGGGAAATTGAAATTTGTTCACATTTTGGTTATAACGAGCGTTCAAATAAAAACGTGGTCAAGTTGGTTCTGAAAATTTGGACGTAGGGCGTAGCGTAAAGCAAATGAACTTAAACGTCATCTGTCAAAGCGCTATATCGCCGCTATCAATTTGAATATTTTCATTTTAAAAAGCGTTTAAAATGGTGTTTTCTCAAGAACAAAAAGTGTTTATCATAGTCCTACTTTAGAAATGGACGCAAGATTGATGGAATATGGAAGTATTCTATTGAGGAATGTTTCATAGAATTTCAAAATCAATTTCCCGGCGTTGTTGAGTACAAAATTTTTCAAAGTGCAGTTCAGCGTTGTGTTAATGTTTTTCGTGAAACGGGCAGTGTAACAAGAAAAGAAGGAAGCGGCCGACCTAAAAAGCGGACTGAAGAATTAAAAGAAAATGTCCAACAAATAATGGAAAATGCGCCAAGAACTTCTGTACGTGTTTTATCACAAATGGTGGGAGTATCAGTCGGTACCTGCCACACAGTGTTAAAAAAAGATTTGCGTTTGTTCTCCTATCGTTTAACTTGTCAGCAAGAACTTCATGAAGTTGATTTTCCGCGACGGGCTGTATTTTGTGAATGGTTTTTAAACAACTACGGTGAACTTCATAATATCACCTTTTTTTCTGATGAAGCCTGGTTTCATTTAAGTGGTTACGTAAACTCACAGAATATGAGAATGTGGTCTTCTGAAAAACCAGATAACTTTTTTGTCGAGGGCCCTCTACACGCTCAAAAAATTGGAGTTTGGTGTGCTCTCAATCGAAGGAGGATTTATGGACCTATTTTTTTTAATGGTACTCTTACTGCGCAAAGGTATAGAGAAGAAATTATCGCTCCTTTTGTTAACCAGCTGGAAGAAAACGAAATTACAAACTTTTACTTTCAACAAGATGGCGCAAGGGCACATACGGCAGGCGAGACGATGAATATGTTGAGGGAAGTTTTCCAAAATCGACTAATAAGTCTCAATGCTGAACATGAATTTCCACCGAGGTCATGTGATATTACGCCGTGTGATTTCTTTTTGTGGCCTTACCTTAAAAACACTATTTTTGAACTGCCTATTCCTGATTTAAACCATCTGCAGGCTCGACTTATAGACAAGATTCGTGAAATTAACAATACCCCGAGCATCTTAGAAAATGTCTTTAATTCTTTGAGGAACAGGTGTGAAAAGTGCTTGGAACAAGGAGGGGGACACTTTCAGCAGCTGCTTTAATTTATTGTTATAACAAGGAGGGGGACACTTTCCGCAGCTCCTTTAATTGTTTGTTATTGTTATCACGATTATTCTTTAAAATAAAGTTATATAGTCATTAACGTTATTGAAACTGACAGCTGCTATACAGCTCGTTGAGAAATGAGGTTAAGCTGGTCGCTATAAGCTACTCCCTACGTCCAATGTGTCAGAGCCAACTTCGACCACGTTTTTATTTGAACGCTCGTTAGTTCATTGAGGGCGCCAACTGTCGTAGATTGAATGTGTTGAAAACGACAGGTACTCATTTTTGGTATCAAATTCTTCTTTTTCATTTTTTTTTTTACACAAAAAGGTAGACTTTATGAAAGTAGATGTCTCGCACTGTTTCCAAGATATTTGGGTTTGAAACTTCCAATGCTAATAGAAATAATTAAAATAATTTAGAAATGTCAAAAACAAGGGTTTATTTAAAAATTTTAGTGAATAGTAAAATAGTAAACATTAGTAGAAAATATGCCATTTTGACAATAATTGCTCAAAATGTCCACCTCTAACTTCAATACATTTATCAACGCGTTTATTAAATACCTTTCTTGTGTAAAAAAAGTTGGAAAATAAGAATTTTATCGATCAAACATGAGATACCTAAAGTACAGAAAGTTATGTCGTTTTTAACACATCCAATATACTGCAGCTAGCGCCCTCTATGAACTTTAACCAAAATGTGAATAGATTTCAATTCCTCTACCCAAAGAACTCCAAACCCCAAAATTTTGTGAGGATATTTGCATTTGTTAAGGAATAAATGAAAATAAAACTGAAATAATATTTTACATTTAACACCCTGTATCTCTTTAACTATCAACTTTTGTGCTAAGGTAAGTTCAGCCAAATCGCAATATTTTTGCTACCCATGAATTTTGGCCCATTACTTCGGGACCACTCTTTATATACACCGAAAAAAATCCTGTGTTTTAAATTTACTTTTCATTTTATATTAAAATCGTGGAGTTTATATTTTCCCAATACAGCGCCGACATTTTTGTGTGTTATTTTATTACGCTGTCTCCGAATTGTTGACAGTAAAAGTTTTCAAATAAAATAAAGCCTAAACAAAGGGCAACCCCAGGAGTCTGTCACGTAAACTGCTGAATTATGAAAATTATGAAAATACATAAAACCGAACGAAAAAAAAAACCGGCAAAGGGCAGAGGGAGAGTATCTCAACGAGACCAATCCTTCTGTTCAGTCATGACTGAGGTTTATTTTCGTGTATCAGATTATATGCTCTTTTGTTCTTCACGGGGTTTACGGTAAATGTTATCGAACAAGTTTTATTGTTCTCGCGCGAGATTATGGGGAATATATATGAGATTACGGGGCGCTCTTTGAATTTCTAGCTAAATGACGGGATTCATTGAGCAATAAAATAGTTTATGCCATGAATAAATCCATGTTATGTTTCGTAAAGCGTCAAACTATACAGGGTGTAAGAAAAAAATGCATAGCATAATTCCATTCGCGCAAATTAACCTTTCCGAGGTATTTGAGATTTGAGTTTTTTCCTAAATAAATTTTCGAATAACATCTATAATAATCTTTCTCCATCTTACGCCTACTTTGAGTAAACTAAGCAGATTTCCTAGAAGCGGTGAATTATTTTATTTATTTTTATGTGATTTTTGTTTGAAAATGTTTATAAAATGGAAATTAGATAACGTTTTTCCAGGGACCCGATTCTTTATGTAAATCAGTGTGCCTAAATGAGTTCTACCTTTAGAACCTTTATGGCGCCCACTACAAATTGTTTCTGGTAGTTTAATTACCAAGAATTCTTAATTACAGTTTTTGTCTGGCTTTAGACATGAATACTTTCATTATGGAGTTACATCATTATGGAGCAGTGATGAATGTTTTATTTCGTAATTATTTTTTGCACAAAAAGGGCTTACAATACTTTAGGGAACAAAAGGGTGGGGTTAATGTACTCCTGTGCTTTCTAACCTAGAAACTTTAGTTACGATGTTAACGTTGTACAATTTTAGTACTAATTTCGTATCATTTTTTGTTTCTAGACCCATAAAAAAAACAGGTAAGCTGCCAAATGCTTCCTTCATTTTGACTTAATGTCAGTTAATCCAAATTGTTCCATTTTGTTGGAATAATCGATAATCTTTTTTGTATTTCTCGCTATACTTGACGAACAAAATAAAATATGAATTTCAAACCGGGCTCTCGGTTTACTCCATGTGAGTTACTGACCTGCAGTGTAGTTCTATATCCGGCACCGACCTCGTGCTGTTCTCTTCGAGACACAGGGAACCATCCTCTTCGCTGTCGGAGAATACTGACAGCTGCGGATGATGCGACGACACCAAGAATGTGGTGCATTCTTGACGCATCAGCACCGGTTTGGAGCAGTTGGCTGGTGAGGTGGCACTTGTCAAGGAGGGCTGGCCTACCAGTAGGCTTGCAGTCTCATCCTGACTACTCATCCTGAGCCCCTAGGCCTATCGGGTTTTTAATCCTGAAACAAATTGATACATCAAATAATGAAAATATACACTGTGTATACAGAACGTCAATAATATAACCTTATTCTTCGGGCGTCAACTTAAAAAAAATGTCATTACCGAAAAAAGGTATACACAAGTGCATAAGTACTTCATTTTGCGTTCTACGTGAAATGCCTGTAATTTGTCGTTCGGTAATAATTGAAGTGTTAAATTGTTGTGATTGAGGTGTTAAATTGTTGTCATTTTGAGGTGTTGAATTGTTGTCATAGTTTGTAAATTGTTGTCATTGAGGTGTTTTAAATTGCTGTCATTTTGGAGGTGTTAAATTGTTATCACTGAGGTGTTAAATTGCTGTCATTGAGGTGTTAAATTGTTGTCATTTTGAGGTGTTAAATTGTTGTCATTGTTTTTAAGTTGTTGTTATTGAGGTGTTAAATTGTTGCCATTGAGGTGTTAAAATGCTGTTATTTTTGAGGTGTTAAATTGTTGTGATTGAGGTGTTAAATTGTTGTCATTTTGAGGTATTGTATAGGCGTTGCCATTTTGTAAATTGTTGCATTGAGGTGTTAAATTGTTGTCATTGAGGTGTTAAATTGCTGTCATTGAGGTGTTAAATTGTTGTCATTTTGAGGTGTGAAATTGTTGTCATTGAGGTGTTAAATTGCTGTCATTTTTAAGGTATTAAATTGTTATCATTGAGGTGTTAAATTGCTGTCATTGAGGTGTTAAATTGTTGTCATTTTGAGGTGTTAAATTGTTGTCATAGTTTTTAATTTGTTGTCATTGAGGTGTTAAATTTCTGTTATTTTTGAGGTGTTAAATTATTGTCATTGAAGTGCTAAATTTTTGTCATTTTGAGGTGTCAAATTGTTGTCTTTGTTTTTAAGCTGTTGTCATTGAGGTGTTAAATTGTTGCCATTTTGTTAAATTGTTGTCATTTTGTTAAATTGTTGCCATGTTAGTGAAATTGACAACATCTGTTGTTAATTATTGTGTCGTTGTGTTAAATTGTTGTAAGCGAATGTCGATTGTTTTTTCAAACAGAACGATATATGTTTTTGTATTTATTCCGATGAATTCAAGTTGTTATATATCGTTGAATTTAGAGAAATAACAAAATACAGGGTGTTTCTTAATAACGTGTAAATAATTTAAGGAGGTTATTCTTGGGTCCATTCAAAGTCTTAACTTTTGAACTACAGGGCGCTAAAGTTTTATGAAAAAACATTTTTTTATGATAACTTTGGTATTACCCTAGATATTTTTTCAAATTTGGTACACGCCTTGTATTCATCGAGATACATTTTCTGATGTACAAACAATTTTATTATTTTTGCCAGTGGCGTATCTACAGGTTTTGTATTGAATATATTTGAAGAAAAATATGTTACGCCAATGCTTTTTCTTAAAGCAAAAATCATTTTTGAAATCCACATATTCCAACTCACACGTTAACGGAAAACTGCTCCTGGTGACGGGAATCCAAGATTGCATGTGGGTTTTCTTCAACCCAAATGTGATTGTTGTGGAAGTTTTTCTGGAAAAGTTGGCTTCATCGGTGAATAAAATTTCAGTGTCAAATAATGGATTTTCATTCACTTTTTGGCAAAAGTTTATCCGTAATGGAAAGTTGCGAGGTAGTAGAGCTTGAACCCGTTGGATATGGTAGGGATATAATAAAAAGTCATGGAGAATTTTCCAAATAAGAATATGTGAGATATTCAAATTTTTCCCAATTTTTCTTGTACTTAATGCTGGATCTTCCTCAGTCGAATTCAAAACCGCTATCTCAATTTCTGGAGTTCTTACAGTACGGTGTACTCCTTTTAGATGATTGTCTGATTTAAAACTTCCCTTTTCGCACAATCTTCTATAAATGTTTGAAAATGTTCGCGCCTCCGGAATATTTCTATTTGGACGTACCAAATTTGAAAAAATATCTAACGTAATACCAGTTATAATAAAAAAATGTTTTTTTTTTTATAAAACTTTAGCATCCTGTAGTTCAAAAGTTAAGACATTTAGGACATATGTTCATATGAAGCTTTTTTTTTAAATGGACCCAATAATAACCTGCTTAAATATTAGCACGTTGTTAAGAAACACCCTGTATATCGTTCCATTAAAAAAATTGACTATCGGTTGTCTTTAAGGTAGAATTTTGTGACGTTTACCACATGCTGGGTCATTTCGTGGTTAGATACTGGTAGTGTTATTTCTCGCCCTGAAGGAGAACAACAATAAGCTGAACCTTCGTTAAAAGAATCGCCTTTCGTGTACAGGATGTTTCGAAGGTGGTATTACATTTTGCATTGGAATGAAACAAAAATAAAAAATTATCAGTCACTGAACAATTATAGGCCCTTTCTATGGAACAATGAAACGACAATTTTAATCGGAATTGTGTCTCAAATTAGTTCCATCACCCCATTTAGCGGAAGAAAACCTACCAATACCCTGAAAAGTGCACGAAACTGTCACTCGAACGTCTCCGGGGAGTATACACAACTGAGAGCAAAGTCTGGACCGTACCTACTTATATAACCAAGACACATTCGCGCTTGTATCATTTCTATTATTGCGAATACTTATATTTTATATGTTAAATGTCCTTTGAAGCGTGGAACAGATATGAAATGTTCCTTCAACTTTACTGGTTAGATAAGTACTGATAAATTCGTTTTGTAGTAGAGCTTAGAGCAAGCTCCCTACGCTGAACGAACTGTGACACAATAAATAGAAAAAGGTTTTAACAAACATGAATTTCTGTCAGTTTTGCATAACTAATCGTGCTTTTGTGCGAGTCGTCACCTGTTCGTATTGAATGCTTGTCTTATTTTGTCACGTGGAACAGTTTTCCTGCGCTAAACTTGAGCGGAGCCTGCTCCACATAGGGATATTTTTATGAAACTATTCACCAGACTGGTTCCAAAGCTTACTTCGCAAAGGATTCAGGAAAGTTTCGTAATTAGGAAGGCATAATAGTCACCTGTAATAGTTCAGCGACGCTCCAACAAACACGTTGACAACATTCCAGGCTTATCCAACCTTCCCTGGCAGGAAAATTTGCGGAGGAAATACTTATCACACTACATATTAATTTTGAAAGAAATTATTGCCGGGGACTAAAGTGTGTGGTTTACTCACGAGGGACCAAAAAACACTTTAGTCCCCCAAAACTAGAAGTATCTGGATTCAAGGATATACTTTATTATACGAAAATAAAGGCTGTTATTGCATTTTTAATCCATTCTGAATAGTGTTATAGGACTAAACTGCATACTATAATATCGGAAGAATTAGAAAACACTTTAGTTTTACGGTGCATATTTCAGAACTAAAATTGGAAATATGTTATACTTTGATTTGTTAAAAATGTAAAATAAGGATATGGATTGATAGAGATTAAAAAAGCCTACAACATAACAGAGGACTAAAGTGTTATATACTGGGGAACTAAAATACACTTTAGTCCTCTGGCACAGGTTTTAATTAAAACTATAGACAAGGGCGGATCTATCAAAATATCCCACTTCTTGGACGTAAGAGGGGACAAGCTAATTTTTGCTGAAACACCTTCAGTACAACTCACATAATAAAAGTGTAGATCTGGGCGAGGTCCGGAACATTTTCAAAATTGCAAAAATGTCAAAAAATTTTAAAATATACCTATTTTTATCTGAGTTTTTTACTTATATCTAGGAACCTATGCATTTTGGAAGAATATTGAAGAGGGAAAACAGTTTTAGAATTGAATTTTGCACAATATTCTGAAAGTTATAAATGTTTAAATTTATTACCGACGTTGCAAAATAGCAATAATTGATGAAAAAAAAGGCAAAAAAATCAAGTTTTTTTTTGATATTTTTTAAAATGTTTTAATTGCTCCGAGGGCATTCTAATTTTGGTAAAAAATTTTATAGTATAATAAAGCAACACGCCAAATTTCATTAAAATCGGTTCGATAGTTTTGCAAAATAATTTTTTGAAAAAAATTTTCGAATTTTTAAAACGTTGCACAGCCTCAAATAAAGCATCTAGATACTTGAAAATTTTCTCACATAAAAAAGACCGCTGAACCTTTCAAATGGTTTTTGAAAAATTGAAATCGGTTGATTAGGACGGCCACAATAAAAAGATTAATAAAGAGTAGGTACGTTTTTTAAGTACAGAAGAGACTAATAATTGTTTGAAATAGTCGTCAGTACGACATAAAAGACCAACTATAGGTCTGTTCCAACAAGAGTCAAGGATTGGTTCCAAACCGTCAGAAATGTGCATCCAACTAATTCTTGCGATATATTCACTGAAGACACATTTAGAATTTAGCTGGCCAAACATTTCGAACGGTTGGGAACCAATCCCTGGCTCTTGTTGGAACAGACCTTATGACAAAAAAAAGTAGGTATAACCTTATATCGCTGAATTCATTTTTAGAAGGGCTATCTATTTATACTATAAAATATGGAGGGTCCTATTAAAAAAATATGTCGGCAATGCTACAGCTGTCAAAAATGGCTCAAAAAATAGAAAATATTGCAGAAAAATAACAATTTCTATTTTTAGGAGAACGGTTCACCCCTAAAAAAAAGGCATGAACCGACTAAATTTTTAAAACAAAAACCTACAGCATGAAACTTTTTTTATTTTATAAAGTGTATTTTTCTGATAATTTACATATTTTTTTTATATTTTTCGGCGTGGTCAGTCAATTGTTATAATCGCCACATCGGTCGATAGCCGCACGGTTTAAGGCGTCAGAATCGATGTGTGCTATCTGCCCGGGTTTCGAATCCCGCGGCCGGTAGACCGTAAATTAGCTATGCTTGTACGGAGGATTGGCACCCTCTGTGCAGGTATGGTAGGGTGGAAGAATATTGGCTTGGGTCAATGTGAGAGATTGACACCGGTTGGCATTTGACCACCTCCCTAATTAATGAGGTTTTCCAGGTTTCCCTCATTCCTGCACTGAATGGTGGTTAGGGCCTACCAACATAAGTCGTTCCTGGGC